TATTATAAATGGGTTAGAGTTATTTTTTGTGGAAAAGCTCAATAAAACAAATCTTATTTTTCGCTCACTCAAATCTTTTTGACATTAATTGACCTCCATAGCCTCGTGTCTCTGGTCTTATATGTAGTTTTCACATGATGACCAGTTTCCCAGCCTACCCTCTATAAACATGTTAAAGCCAGGTATGAAGTTAGCGTGAGGCTGCATGTTTCCATGTTTTGTTGATKGTTGATGCACCTGAAGTTTCTGAGAAAAACGGAGCAGACACAGAAATWGTTTTTACTGTAAATCCTTTGCTGTCAGTGTTTTTAGGCCTGCTGATGTAATCTGACATCAACACACACCTGCAGCTTGTTCTCAGTGTTTTCACAGACTGAAGGTTTGAGCTGAGCTTCAGCAGGAAGTGAGAACTGTAATATTCATCAGAGCTCATATCCATTTACAGTTTCCCGATCGATCACAGCAGCCGCTCTGCTCTTATGTGAAATGGCACGGTGCCGTCCCCCTGCATGGCACTAAGTGGTCGGACCACATCGCTCTAAATTTACAGCCTCCAAGTGTCCCCGCAGTAAACCTTTTCCCTTCTGCATCTGATTATTGGCAAACCCCTCAGCTTTGATTTGTGGTGGGAGTCCATTACTTCACTGCAGCATTTCAGAGCCATGAAACCCACCTCTCCCAGTGGCTGCACACGTTCGGGTCGTCCGGGTTGAGGGTCCACACCTTAGAGACCGAGTTGTTGAGCAGGTAGAGCAACAGCAGAGGAAGTGGGGAGACCCTGCGGACCCCCATCGTCCTCCTTCCTGCAGGAAGCAGCGAGAAAACAAGCAAAGAGATTTAAACCTTCAGCTTCAGATCAAAATACACAGAACTCGTAAACACAGCAGCTAAAGATGAACACAGAGTTTGAGTCTGTGTTCAGTAAATGTCTCATGAAGCAGATTTTACTACAACCCTCAGAAAGTACWCAGTAAATAAACAAGAAAAACTAAGTTTTACCTGTGTAAAAGTACAAGTATCTTAACATAAAAACACTTTAGTTAAAGGTAAAAACTTCTCTAAGAATATTACTTCAGTCAAAGTCTTAAAGTAAATCTGACATTCATAGTAACAGAGTGTGGTAATAACAGAGTGTGGTAGTAACAGAGTGTGGTAATAACAGAGTGTGGTAATAACAGAGTGTGGTAATAACAGAGTGTGGTAGTAACAGAGTGTGGTAGTAACAGAGTGTGGTAATAACAGAGTGTGGTAATAACAGAGTGTGGTAGTAACAGAGTGTGGTAGTAACAGAGTGTGGTAATAACAGAGTGTGGTAATAACAGAGTGTGGTAGTAACAGAGTGTGGTAGTAACAGAGTGTGGTAGTAACAGAGTGTGGTAATAACAGAGTGTGGTAGTAACAGAGTGTGGTAGTAACAGAGTGTGGTAGTAACAAATTGTGGTAGTAACAGAGTGTGGTAGTAATAGAGTGTGGTAATAACAGAGTGTGGTAGTAACAGAGTGTGGTAGTAACAGAGTAACAGAGTGTGGTAGTAACAGAGTGTGGTAGTTACAGAGTGTAGTAATAACAGAGTGTAGTAGTAACAGAGTGTGGTAGTAACAGAGTAACAGAGTGTGGTAGTAACAGAGTGTGGTAGTAACAGAGTGTGGTAATAACAGTGTGTGGTAGTAACAG